ACCTATAAGAAAAAACTTAACTTTAATAATATTTCAAATTATTAAAGTTAACAACAGCTAAAAACTGCTACTTTTATTTCGTTAATTTCGAATTTTAAACTACAATATAAAAATCGCTTTTAATCAATATAAAAATAAATTACAACCTTCTTAAGGCGATCTGACAGTAAGCGCAATTAAAGATTAAAAAACCATGGTCCAAATAAATGACGGTCTATGGCTTGACCTCGCCAAAATTATCGATTTTCATTACTCTGCCGCCTTCGTTTTTTTTCAATTTTTTTCCAATTTCTGTTGGATAAATTGAAGAAATAAACAGAAAACAAACCAAAAAATATAAAATAAAATAAAGAAACACGTACAAAACATCCGAGTGACGAAAAGCGGGCGTAAGCCGAAATTAAAATTTCAAATTAATTCATATGAACGAATTCCCCTGTTAATATTTCCAGCACAAAACGAAACGAGAAGAAAAAAAAAAGAGCGAGGAACAGCGCAGCGTTGGAAAACGCGGTGGAAAATTTATCGCAGCCGCCGCCGCTCCGCGTTATTTATTCTGTGGGGGAGTGAGGCTCCCCCTGCGCCAGGGGGATGAAACAGCGGAGCACCCTTTGTCTCACCCTCTCTCTCTATTTATGCCCTCGTAAAAATCCGTCGTCGCTCCGAAAACCGTAATATAGCCATCTAGGTGCGGTTTCCGCTGATATATTTCGCGGAAATGTAAATTGTTGAGCGCTATTTAGAAATGTAAACCCCTATAAAAATACCTTTATGTACCACTGCAAACACTTTATTATTTTGTAGTAATTAAAATATTTTTTTCCTGCAACGCAAGGAAATTTCTTGCAACAAACCAAAATATATTTAATGCGTATGCTTTGCTAAATTATCTTGATACTATACAGAGTGTCCCTGAAATAAGTGCAATTATTTTAAGTAATCATCTGGACAAAAAAAGATATTCTCTTCTACTTTTAAAATAAATTGCATATATAACCGAGTTATACTGGGTGTTTCAAAAAACATGTTCCAACAGTCGCAGTTGTGGGGAGATTCATCACATAAAAATATGATTTATTTATAGAGAGGGTTAGTTATCATTTTTTTTTCGATTTTTTTATAATTTTCTTTTAAGTGTTTTTGGCGATTCGAATGATTTTTTTAGGGTAAATGTAACTATAAGTGCGACATATTTCAATGCTAAAAAATTGGTGACATATTCACCGGGGACGTTCATGTGGGTTATCACTGAAATATGTTTCAAAAAAAATGAGCCCCACTGACTTTTCTCTTGTTAGCAAAATTGTGAAGACTGTTTAATGCCGATTAAAGTTGTCTCTTCCTTGATGAGATAAACGCAATGCATTAGACTTGGATTAAGGCAACATGGTTAAATAAAACCATGTCACCTCAATCTAAGTGTAATAATAACCCTTAACATTTTTAATGTTATTAATTGGCCAAGTGTTAAATATAAGTACTCATTGATTCCTCATCAAAAAACGTGTTTTATTTTATAAAAACGTGTATTGATACACAAAGTTACAGGATGTTAAAACTTTTAAAAATAGGTCTTATCTTAAATACCATTGTTTTTTTTAAAATTTGATGTATAGGTATAGGTAGCACTGAACATCAGTGTTATAAATTTTAATAAAAATTAATAATTTTTATTAAATAAATAATGTATTATTTTAATTTTAATAATATTATGATTAATAAAATTGCGTTTATCTCATCAACTAGATAATCGACAAAATGTCCAGATACTCGTTAATCGGCATTAAGCGGTCTAGACAATTTTGCTAACAAGAGAAAAAATTCAGTGGCGCACATGTATTTAAAAAAATATGTTCCAGTGATAAACGATATGCACGTCCCTGGTGAACCTGTCGACCAACAACCTGTTTTTTAGCATTAAAATATGTAGCACTTATAGTAACTTTAATCCTCAAAATTTCATTCGAATCACTAAAAGTACTTAGAAGAAAATTATAAATCGAAAACAAATAAGGCTTTTTTAAACCCCTGTCGCAATCCTGTAGCCACGAAACAAAGCAGAATCGAAAATATGTTGATATAAAAAATAAATTTTATTTCTATGTAAGGAACCTCCCCACGAGAAATGGTACATTAATTCTTACCTGGAAAATATCAAGAGAAACATAAAATTTTCAATATCAATTTTACAAAAAAACTAATGCAAAAAATATCCTCAAATCGAAATCTTGAACCTATTCAAAGATCTACGTTTTCGAAATTCATAAATCAATATAATTCATGTCGTTTTATCTTACACATTTAATTAAAAATAGATCTATTGGAAACAAAGAAAAAGGATCAATAGCGTTGTCAGCGATGAACTAACGAAATCGCGAATTTAATAAAAGCAATTTCGACGGCCCTTTGGCTCGAGGGGAGCGTCTTAAAAAGCGGCAAAGTTGAGTTATCGAAGGGCCTAAGTGGATGTCAAGGGGCTTTATCGGAACAAGCTGTCGCTATTGCGAAACGGGCGAATAAGGAGAGAACGGTAGATTGATAAGGAAGAAAAGGATGATGATGAAAAAATACAGTCTTTGATGACGACAATCGATTTAGTTTGGTGGAGGAAAATGTGCGCTGGAAAATGGCTTTGTTGGAAATATCTTTTTTTATTTTGTTTTACAAAGCATGCTGAAACGTAAGAAGGCATTGCGATGGTTAGTTATGGTTTATTTTAGTGAGATATTTCTTCTATTTATGAAAAATTTGTATGAAGGTTCATTCAAGACTTGTTATTGCAGTTTCGCGGAATACCAGAGAAATTGTATTAGAAATTGGAATACCCTTCATTTTTCAGTTTTGACATAAAACGGTTGGTTTTGTACCTATTAAGAACACAATATAACAGTCGTCAAAAAAAATTAATAAAAGCTCTTAAATACCCTCTACATTATCTCCGAAATGCTTTACGAAATATTTCTGGAAATATATCTCGATTTATTTCAGGAAACGTAGGAACTAATTTTTATAAAACGGGCTTATATTTATCGTATCGTACTATTTTGTGAAATAGCACGCAGCAATCGAGGTCAAACGTTGTGGTGGCTTCAGAAAAATAAGTAAATATGGAGTATGAATAAATATCCATTAATTTGTAATGGGGTGTAATGTAATATCACTATATTAAACTGATATGAAAAATCAAAAACAGTGCATTTAGAAAACAGTTACCGATGATGGTAGATTAAATTGGTTATTCCTCTAAGGTTACACAAGAATATTTAGTTTTAATCATTGTCTAACAGTATTAATTACAATATAGTAAAAAAATATAGGTATTGCCAAAACTTAAAATCGTAAAACTGCAGGGCAATAAGCAGTGACTAACTGCTGGTAGTCCGCCTTTTATAGGTTATAATCCACGGTATTAAACAATTTAAAAAATTGTCTAATTATTTCTTATTTTTGAATGGATTTATATCAAACCATGTTATTATTGTATATAAAAGCACCTTTTAAATAAAATAGGTACGTAACCGCAACGAATTGAATCCTTCACTTTTTATTTTATAACGTATCTTTTATTGACATCGGGTCAATCAATAATTTTCCCAATGAGCTCGATATATTGACGATGTTGCCAGTATTACTCATCAAGGAATACTACTGTAATATTAATCAATTAAGGCCACGTACACAAACTTAACATATACAGTTTTATATATTAATTCATTATATGTAATAAAATTAAATAATAAACATATTCTAATTATATTCCTGCAGATTGGGTGTGAAAAGTTTGATTCTTAAATATCTACCCTACATATTATAAACGCGTCAAATATTAATCTTGTGGAATATATATCTACATAAAACGAGATGTAATTACCGAAATATCATCGTAGGAACAGCTATTTTAGAAACGTCTAAGTTTTATTTCACTCATATTTATGAAAAAAAAGTCCTTTGCCTCGGGTACAGACACCGCCGCCTTTTGGAAATAGCTCAAAACGAAACAAAATTGAACAAGGCAACAGGAAACGCCAAAAAAGTTCCCCACGCATAACTCACGAGTAGTGTTCAGGCACTTAAAAATCGAAAGTAGGTCGTGTCAAACCGAAGTGGGCCAAGACAACTGGAAACAGAAATGCGACAAAGTTGGGCGACAAAACGCGACCTTGACCTGCTTAGAAGAGTTATCCGCATAGTGTAGAGGTTGTTATAGACTTATAAGCATTTTAAAAACGTTGTTATATAACGAGACTAGAAACGTACCTTGGCAGAGAGTACGTTTCTGACGTCACATCCGCGCTCTCGGCCTGCCTGTATTATGTGATTCCCCTGTAACTTCCAAAGTTGTGTAATACGTTTATTTATATCGTTCGGTCGCGGTAAATTAATGTACAAGTCCTTCTAGAAATTGTGTTTTGTACCTGGATGTCAAAATACTACCCCTGTGATACCTAATAAAGTAATTGACTGTTCCAAAAGAAAAAAAAAACAACAAATAAGTGATATAAGTATATACTATCTCAACAGAAAGTTAAAAAATTATCGGCAGAATGTTGTACTTCTCTATCAAGGAAGTCCAAAAATATACTGTGATTTGATACATTTTGTGACAACATAGCAGTTGGTTTCCTATTATGCGTTGATAATGAACAAAAATAATCAAGAGTGTTTTTATTTTATCTTCAAGAAAAAAAGACCGTCACAAATATTTATACGAGTTTGCCCGTTATATTTTTCAATTTCAATTGCATTACTGCATTTTATGTTACCTTTAAAGCACAATTTTCTTCCAGTAACACGCATTAGTAGTTGGAGTTGCTCATCAGTTTATCGATGAAGTCACATCAATCAAAAATGCTACTGCATGTTTACACCGCCAGCAGAAGCCAAATGACATTTTCAAAAAAGTCAGTAATGTCAACATTACATATTATGTGGTTATAAATTAGTAATATCTACGATTATTCTATATTTAGCAACTAAAAGCTCAAAAACTCAAAACTCACCTTTGGTTCACTCTTCATCTTCTTAGGAGGCGGCGGCGACGCATCGTTCAACCTCTGCTCCTCCTGACCACCCTGCGCCACATTCACAACTCCACCATTCACTCCGCCCCCCACTTTCGCCTGCTCCGGCTTGGCGGCCGATCCGGGAGCAGTCGCCGCCGCTGGACTCGCTGGGGGCCCCGGCGACGGTGGCGGTGGTCCCGGGCCCGTGCTGGCAGGGAACACAGGTCGCGTGGGACCGGGTTGGGGAGCGCTGGCGGGGCGCAGTAGGCCGTTCATGTCGGCCGACGAGGTGAGGCCGCCGCTGGATAATGAGGAAGGGGATGGAGGTATCCCGGCGGGGGTTTTGTTGTTGGGGGGTAATTTGTCCGAGGACGGAGTGGAACAGGGATTGGAAGACGACGATGAGATCGGTTGGGTTATGGGGTTCGATGTGGTTGATGAGGCGGAAGAATTGTGTACTAGAAAAAAAAAGTTTTGTTAGATTCATTAAAGTTTTTTCATGGAAGTGGCAACAGGTTTCAAATCTTAAAGACTGCATTATTGACTATAGTAGGTAGGCTCTTCGAAGAAATAAAGAGGAAAAGCAGACGATAAACAAGAAATGGATAGCTTGGAACCAGAACATTAATAAAAAAGAATGGATTTTGAAGAATTTTTCCATCTGTTTTCTGATTTAATAAAGGACAACATTAATTTTTCAGTAGTAAGTAGAGCAATAAGTTGGATTTTATTCACAACGTTGAAAAAAGCCGCGGATAATAATTATTCCTTTAAAGAAAATAAGATGATTGAATGAATCTATCACCGTTATAGGTCCATTCCTTAATTTATTAAGTATGATGTCCTGTCGTATTAACGAAAAATCCCATATCTAAGTTAATGTTCTTAAATTAAAAGTCATCTTCTTAAGTTATGTTCTTAGGTTGCATACGTAGATGGAGCTAAAAGCAAAGTAGGGTTCAATATAAAATAAAAATAGTATACAGATACAGAAGCGTAAAAAGGCCTTAAGCTCTACAAGTGTAACTAATTTCTGCATTAAGTTCATCAGACCGAAGAAAACAGCCAAACCAAACAGCCATCCGACGCCCGGTTTCGAGGATTTATTGCCATCAGGCCGACTTTGCTGGACCCTTCGATCTTACATCATGGTACAAAGAATACAAGGTATGATCGATAGCGGCTCCAATTTCGTTCAGTTCGCGCATACCACCTGTGACGTCACTAGGAAAATGAGGAATAAATAAAAAATAAAGAAAGTTGACAGGAGATCTGCATTTTTTGGGGTTATGGTTAAGAATTGTTTATTTTTAAGACTTTTTAGTTCGTTTAATTTAATAATTACTAAAACCAGAAGTTCCAAAAAAATATATTTAAAAATAATAATTATCTATTAACATGGATTTGGACTTTGGACCAAAATAGGTAAGAATACTAAATTTATTTCTATATTTGGTACCTATAAAATTTTTTATTAGGTTTTTAGTTTGCGATGTTTATGGTAAATAATTTTCATGTTAATTGCCTCTGATTTCACATAAGGACAGAGATGAGGATATAATATATGGAAAAGTAACCACAAGAGGAATTGTTACATCATTTAAAAAATGTTGGGAATTTTATTGTTTCCCATCGAAAAGTAGAAAATGCCAATTCAGATAAATGTATTGTAATTGTGATAGAAGTAATTCCAAGGGTGAAGTTTATTATAATTAGTGGAAGTAATTCCAAGGGTGAAGTTTATTATAATTAGTGACCTCTGCTTCTTTTTATATGTAGATGTTTCAGGTTTTGAGAATAAATCGGTTGAACGAAACCCAAAATTTAGAGAAAGTATTTGCATACCCAGAATATGCCCATCAAGGATTATATAGCTCAAATTTCCTTTAATGGTAGGCAATTATTCAATGCAAATTAACTTTTTAAGTGACTGAAATATTAAATAGTTTACAATATGGTATATCATTAAAAATATATTACTTTTAGGTACAATTGGGCCCGATACATTTCAAAAGTAGAATATTATTTTATATTAAATGAGGTATTGTACCAACAATCAATTTATATTAATACCGGAGATTAAAAAATAACAGAATAAATAGTTCTTTTTTATACTACAAAAATAAACTATAGAATACAACAGTATTTAAAAAATAAATAAAAAGTTATGTCCCGGCCGAGATTCGAACTCCGGTCTCTCGCTTCCTAGCCCGACTCCTTACGCACTGCTCCACAGTAACTTGCTTAGCGATAATTCAATGACGGTATATAAACAAAAAAACAGGTTTATAACAATATCTTGACGATTTGAACTGGCGCGCGGAGCGTGCTGACCAATAGCGCCTGTTATCACCTGTGACGTAGCGACCAACCTGCGCAATATCATACCTTGTATTCTTTGTACCATGATCTGACGTCAAAACGCAAATCGCACATGAGTACCAAAGGTACTACTACAATGAGGAGATCTAGACGCTCTCGCCATCTAGCGACAGTCGTACACATCATGCGAATCGTACCACCAAATAAAACCAGCGGCCTACGGGAAAATCAAGCTTTGCGTCTTACCGCCTCAATTGCAATAATGACGTTTTTCCTGAATACGGCAGTGTAATGTACAATCGTCATTTTTCCCAAATGGGACGAAATTTTAGTGTACTGCGATATTATTTTTTAAATTCTCACCATTTCTGTCCGTATGCTTTTCTCTCGACCCTTTATCTCTCCGGTGTCCACTGGAGCCCCTTTTACTGCTCGTGCCGCCCGAACCGGCGCCACTGGAACCCGACGATGATGACGACGACGACGAGCCGGAAGACGAGGAATTTTGTCCACTTCCGACACCCGCACCGACCCCCGGGGCCATGGACCCAGGGGCGCCGCCCTGGGATTGAACCCCCACACCCGAAGGCGCGTGTTTGTTGTTAACGCCCGGCCCCCCCTGAGCTGTGCCACCTTTAGCTGTCAGTTCAGAGGCGTCCGCTACGCCGTTTTGTTCGTTGGATTTGACTATTTCGTGTTTTGCCTGAAACAAGACATGGGAAAGATAAATTAAGAATTTTGAACTTATAACTAAAATTTATAACAAGTAAATTTTAAAGTCTAGATTTGTAAAACATACGCTTTTAAAAATGTTCTTAGTTCATCAGTATGCCAAATATTAAACAGAATCTTGTGTAAAAATACTAAAAATATTTCAGTTGTCATATACTTTTCAAATTGTCTATTTTTCTTTTTAAGAAAAAATAGGCTTTTGGTTGCAAAAAATTACAAATTTGTCTTCAAGAAGTCTCAGAAGAATGAAAATTGTATGTTTTAGATTGTAAACCATTGGTTTATGTATGTAGACCTTTGTTATAGATTGTATGGAAGAGAAGTTTTTTGAGTTATAACTCATCATACGGTCTCGGGGCTTTCGAAAGCCAGTATCTGAGACAGGTTTACAGAGGTTAGTTTTCCATCTCCGATATCAGTCCTAGGTACGTACCTAAAGTTTAGGTACGAATGGTTATCTCGGCGCACTCAGTGAAGAGGTGTTCTGGTGTTTTCCCACTTTCCTTACATTCGCCGTTGTTTCTTAGCTTCTTTGATTCTACTGAGGTCGTCATTGAGGAGACAGTGTCTTGCTAAAAATCGCGTTGCCATCTTTGATTTTTCTCAATCCTGAGAAACGTCTTCCAGTGTCTTAAACCGTTGGAGGATTGCCATTCTAATTCTTCCAAGTTCTTGAGTTCTGCTTTAAGCTGGTTTCCACTTGGAAAGCAGAACGGCTCTAATCCAGTTAGTGGAGTGTTCGCTCCTTTTCTAGCTAGATCGTTTGTTTTTCTGTTACCTTCTATTCCTTTTAGAGGTGGGAATTCTAGTTCCTTAGTTCTAGTTCCTCCAGAGGAATAGTTCCTTAAACTAGGACCTTTAGTTCACAATAGTTCCCGACTAACATTGACATCCCCGTTGCTTGTTCATGGGTTTCATTGTCAGTCAGAACTATTCACAGTATGATCTGTATAATTTTTATAATGTACGAAATATAACGAAACGTGTAATTGCAACATATAGGTAAGTTTTATTGCAGAAAAAAATATAAAACAGAAACTCAAATCAGAGTTTAAAAAACTATATTACAAATCAATTGGAGATTGGAGCAAATAAAAAAAATACGAAAAATTGCATTTTTCCCCACTTCAAGCATTTTGTTTTTGTTTGATATATCTTAATTTTAGGGACCTAAAGTAAAACATTCCCATAAAATATTCAAACAACAAACTAAAAATCAAAAACAGTATCCACAACAATTTTCTGTGGTAATTACGCCGGCTGTGGCAATAGACAAGACCGAATCCATCGTTGTCGCCTTTTATTATATCTCGGATCTGCCGACTGAATAGATTCCTGTGAACTAATCTTTTAATTAGTTCCTCTAGTTCCTCTCAGTCCTTTGGGTCCGGGACAGATAACATACGGCTGGCACTCTCCACTCCCGCCTGGCATCGGGCTACGATAGCACTGGCCGATCCGTCGCCGTCGCATATTATTATCAAATATGTATAATAAATATATCCCGGAATAGGTCCCGAGGAACTAGTTCTTTGAGAAACCGGAAACTAGTTCCAATGAACGAACTAGTTAGTTCACGAACTACACACGTTTAATTCCTTTGGCTGGTTCCAGAAGGAGGATTGTATCTGGAAAGGCTGGCATCCAGAGTAGGAGGGCTTTGTTTCGTTGCAAGTAAGTGTATATCACATGCACTATTATTTATCGATATAGCATACCGTTGATGTAGATACGAATATTTTCTTTTATTACAAAAACTGGAACATGCTTTCTGGCATTAGGTACTCACCTCGGACGTTTTTGTGCCCGGTTTCGTCCGCTTGATCTTCATCTTGAGCCCCTTGTCCGCCGTAGCCGAGTGCTCGATGTGCATCTTAGCGGTGGCCGCCGCCTTGGAGGCCTGAGGGCCGGCGCCCGCGTTCGCCGCCATATTGCCCACGCCGCAGCCCGCCGATCCGCCGCCGAGGGGCTGTTGCTGCTCGTTCGTTTTCTCTATGTCCGCGTCCAAATCGATTATAAGGTCGCCGATACCTGAAACCAAAACGAAAACAAATCAAATTTGAGGCTATGAGGAGCGTATTATTCTTAAAGTAAACTGTCTCAGAAATTGACATATTATTAAACAAACTAGTTTTGCTTACGAGTGGTAAAACAATATGGTTCTTTTATTTGCAAACAAGATGTATTGTGACACAAATATCTAGATTACATTCTTAAATTGTACCCTTTTCACATATCTGAATAACTTGGAGACTGAACACTAATTATATACGCCTTCTACAAAGAACAACACACTTGACCGATTATTGGATTGACGAGTGTGCTCTGAGAGTAAGTTCTACAGATAATGTGGAATGTGTTCTGTCATATCTTCTTCTGATTGACAGAATATACAGATGGCTACATCTGTTAATCACATCGACTTTAAATGACTATTGTACTTGCGATGCCTTGTTGTCCTGTTATGAGACCCACTACAGTTTTGATAGTTTTTCTGTCTTTGCTTAACAGAACGTCAATAAATGACATTAGCACAGAACAAGTCCAACAGAAACATCTTGTAATGTACGTACTGTGTGGTACTGTGTTGGACACGTGAGACCAAGAAAAGTTGAACAAATTATCTTTAATTTATTCATATTATATTATTCATAAAATATGTTGCATAATCTAAAATTTCTACTATATTTGGTACATCACATTACAAGTCCAATAAATAAGTCTTTAAAAGCGGCACAACGTTGATTCGTCTTATAAAAGCTAATATAACTGTTCTACAAAGCCATAAATTTCCTCCTATTGCACTGTTTACACACTTTCATGCAAGGTATTTCATAGGCATATTTACTTATCGAGAACTTATTCTAGAGTAACATCACGCTTAATTTAATTTCATTCACGTTCTTGTTATCTAGAACTTTTTATTTATTTAAATACTACAACAAATATAGATTAAACATTACTAAAAATAAACAGCTTATATTTAGATGACAAAGATTAAAGGGAATATTTAATTCAATTTTGGCATGTGGATATATATTGTATATTTTTCTTTGATATAACAATCAGTCCAATACTCAATAATTATTTTTTTATTTTAATATTATCTGTAATATTAAGTAACATGGTACAAGACCGTCGGGCTGAGCATCAACTAAGACAAAACCGCGGTAGTATACCATTCACCAGATAGCGAAGTCTGAAAAACTTGAATGAACTAAATGGAAACTAGATGGAATAGAAATAAACCCTAAGAATATCCCTAGACATTAAATTTTTATGGACAAGGCATATTAAGAACATTACCAGCAAAGCCACAAATGTTCATGATATGCAGAAGACTGGCTGGAAATAGATGGGTCTGCACTCCTAACATTTTGCAGGAGATGTATACCATGATAGCAAGAATCAAGAATACTTATGGAGCAGTTGCTTGGTACACACAATTAGAGCCACGTATCACAGGAGCCATGAAAACCTGCCCAACAACAGCAATAGTGGTCATTCTAGACCTAACATCACTGCGTATTGTCATCGGTAGTTATGCCTATGCGAATGATGAGAATGGTCACTGACGAAATTAACACCAGGAGAATTGTCAGCTCAGGAGCTTGGACATCCTCAAAAAAGAAATACCACTCCTCCAACTCCCAGTGGACGACGAAGAGAGAAACGTTTGCTCAGCAGTTAAAAGATCATACCAAAACTTGAAATACTGATTCTTCCAAAACCAATGCAGGAACAGGTGTTTGGATCGAGAACTAAATACTCCGAACCAATGGCCATCTACCCTAGCATCCTACAGGCAGAAATATTCGCTATGCAAAGATGCGTACAACTTATCTTAGATAAGAACTATCGGAAATAAGAAATATCCATCTTATCTGATAGTCAAGCGCCTTTAAAAGTTAAAAGCGATCAACCCAGTACCAATCAATTCGAAGTTGGTAAAAGAATGTTTAGAGAAGCTGAACAAATTAGGAAAAGGAAACAGTCCTCGTAATGGGAAAGCAAATGATCTAGCTAGAAAAGCGAACACTCCACTAACTGGACCAGAACCGTTCTGCTCCCCAAATGGAAACCAACTAAAAGCGGAACTCAGGAACTTGGAAGTCTCCATCCGTAACCTGGAATGGGAATCAACGGTCTAAGAAACCAGAAGAAGTTTCTCAGGACTTACGACCGAGAAAATTCAAGGATTTTCTTTGATTTAAGTAAGTACAATCTTCGGATTGCAACGGGGTTTTTAACAGGACAATGTCTCCTCAATGTACCCCTTAGTAGATTGAAGCTAAGAAAAAACGACGAATACAGATCCTGTGGGGAAAATGCGAAAACACCAAAACACCCCATCACTGAGTGCACCGAGACGACAACCATTCCTGCCAAATCTTTGGTACGATTGATATCGGAGATGGAGGACTACGACTACCCTCTGTAAAATCGTCGCAGAAACTGGCCTTTGTCAGGTCTCTGGGCCTGTATGATGAGTTGTAACTCAAGAAAGGGGGACACATTAGATCTGTAGGGTCGCGGTGATATACATTCTACAATATTAAATATTTGGACAGTAATATATTCACATTAAAGTTAAAATAACAATTCAAATGTGATGAACATAACAACCAAAAATAATGATGTTATGTAAATATTTAGATGATTTAAAATCCATAATTTCGTAATAAAAGCACGCCGCATGCTGTAAATTGTGTAACCTAAATATATTAATCTTAAAAACGGGAATTGTGAGCCAGTGAAATTTGATGTTTATTTGTAGTTTGACAACGCTCGTAATTTCCTCTAAACCTAGAAAATCCTAAAGTTATTACTTATTACATGTACTAATAAAACAACAAACGCCAATAAAAATGGGATGGTTTACCATCATGTCGTAAATATAACCTATTCAATACAATGCCAACGCTTTTATATTATAGGTAATATAATAATAATTTGCAATAATACTTCTAGTTCGATATTTCACACACTAAAAACATAGTCAATAAAGTAATTCAATAAAATCAGTAAGTAAATCTACTACTATAATATCTATAATAGGTAATATAAATCCTGTAAAGGTTGATGTGTAATAAAAGATGACACAGATTTTTCGTATATAAATTTGTATTTTATCAACTCTTTTTGAGATTTTCAATTATCATCATTTCAAAAAGTCTGAACTCAAAACAGTATTATTATTCTCTAGTGAAAAGAAATAGTGGGTACTCCGAAAATAGCTATATAATGATTTAAAAGAACTGTACTTACATTAAAACGATATTTACATATATCCAACAAGTCTCGATTAAACCTTTTTCATTAAATTAACATATACATTTATCACACAAATATCACAGCACAATAATACGAACATATCACGATTACTACGAAACTTATCACGTGTACAGTATATAAAACGACCTTCGGTACGTTAAGGGAAACGGCATATCCCTTAGGGCCATTTGGGCAGAACTAAATGTGGGTAAGAAATTTAAGATGTCTGAAAGAGTACCTGTATTCAAGTTTTAAGCCCTATGGGGAGGTACAGGGCCCAGGTATATTTTTATTTAAGCAATTACTATAAAAGTAGGGTCCTTGTGTAAAATCGGTATTGTAGGGGTCTGACTTTTGTTATTTTTACAGGCTTCTCGTAAAGAAAAATCATATTTGTTTATTTAAAAATGTCATCATGTTTAGCGATCATAAAATAGTATAATAAAAAATAATTTCCTTATCTTTTATTGGAAGTTAATAATTCCTTCCATTTCATTACTGTTTTTTTAATACATTAAGAAAATGTACTTTTTCTAAAATTGCAATTGATTCAAATTATCTATTTAGAAATTCGATATATTTCGAAAAACAGTTAGAAATTTACAAATAAGATACTTCAAATTTAATTTGTAAATCACTCAAATCGAATTGTTACTCTGTTTGAATTAGATTTTTTGTTTTAATTAGTAAATTCCGATGGGAATGTAGATATTGAAAATTCAAACAAAATTAAGTAAATATGTAACAGGTGTACCATTTAGAAAAATATATAATTTTTGAAGTTATCAGAATACACTAACAATGTTGAAATGAATTAATTGAAAAGTATCCCGGGTCGTTGTCTCTCCACATTAAAAATTCCAGGGTCGTACCAAACATGAAAGAATTCTGACGCTCTAAAAAAGGTGGAACAAAAAGGAACTGACCGTCGCGTCGGCCCCTTTAATGTTTCGTGCAACAAAATATGTTAATTTTAAATTATCAGAGTATTAACTAACTTGGAGTGTCCTTCTGTATATATAATTGAAATTATACCTGTATTTGACAGAAAATTACACCTCAAACATAAATTAAAAATACAGAATCATCCAATTGTTATGGTTATTTAGAATGAGAATATTGAGTTAAGTCACAATTACAGTTGAGAGTTGGAACCATAGACTTAAAATAAAATATAGACTGAGCATCTCATTCATAAATAGATGGAACATGCGGTCAGACAATATCTTGTTATTGTTGTGTTATTGTTTTAGGTTATAACGAGTGCGACACGAGCGATAGATAGGTTGTCTCTGTCGTAACGGTCGTTCCCTGACGACTCTGCCGAGAAACACAACACTGTCTTTGGTTTCACAAGTACACCTGAACTCTCCGTCTCATAGCCGGGTATTTTTTTTATTTTAATGAAGCTATAATTAAATTAAAAATATATCGTATTTAAACTTTTTTATATTTTATTAAGATTTAGGACAGGTTTTTTAAATAAAAGTTTAGAAAAAACGTCTTAGAGTCCAAAAAGGATAAAAATAATAAAATACACGTTATAGAAGAAATTTTACAATCGAAATTACGTAATTTTTGAAATTAATAATAAATTATTAATTTTAGTCAAATATTTACAACCCCTAATATTAATCAAAACAGGATCTATTCCACAGATATAATAGAATCGGCGACAGGGAGAGAAAAAAAAATATGATTGTTGTAATTTTTTCTCTGATTAAGTGATGTCTTTATGTATAATGTAAATTAGAGAA